CTTGGGTCTGACCGTGCCTGTGTCCCTCTACCCACAAACTTGTTCAAAGCTGCCAGCTTTGCTGGAAGCCTGTGAACTACTCCTGAGTTACTGGGAGGCTGCTCTGCTGACCCGGGGGCTTGGCTCAGTCCTTTTGCCAAACGTAAGGATGTGGTGTGGGGAGACGGGGCCTCATCTCACCTTCAGGGACTTGTGTCTTCTCGTGGGGCTGCCCAAGGCCTGGTCCCTTGTCCTGAAACCTCCTGCAGGAATGTGGGCCCACCTTTGAACAGAGGCAGGAGAACAGCTGGACTAGCTGCGTGAATCTCTTGCAGGACCTTACCCCTGGCAGCGTGGAGGAGGCAGAGGAGGCAGAGCCTGATGAAGAGTTCAAAGATGCTATTGAGGTTTGAGCCTGGTGGGAGGTGGGCCGTGCCTGAAGGGCAGCTGAGGTGGGAAAGGGGCAAGCTGGGTGCTCAGAGAGGGTGGCTGTGGGGCTGGGTGCCTCTGACTCTGTGCTCACTCTCATCTCTTCCCATGCTGCGGGAGAAGGAGAACCAGCTGCTGGTCATGGTGAGTACTACCATGCCAAGGCGTGCAAGAGGGGCATCTCCTCCCAGCTGGGACTGGCAGCCTTTTCTTGGATTGCCAGTGGCTTGTGGTGATGCCAGGTGCAGCATCCTGCTTGTTGGGTATCCGTCTCTGGGGTGGGCTGCCCTGCGGCCCCCAGTGTGCCCCCAGCCACCCCTCCATGCTCAGCTGGCTCTGCTTTCTGCAGGAGGATGACGAGAGCTCCCAGTGCTCAACAGATTTTGACCTCAGCCTCCCGGACAATGGTTTTATGAGCAAAAACGAGGTGATCCGCAGCAAGGTGTCACGCCTGACCGAGCGCCTGCGCAAGCGCTACCCCAGCAACAACTTTGGTAAGTTTAGGAGCAGGTGCTGCTTGGGGGAGCTCAGCAGAGGGATCTGTGCTGCTTCCAGTGGTGATCATGGGACTTGGAGTGGACACAGTGGTGTGTTACCTGCCAGGGCTGTGCTGACACCTCCAGTGACCTTCCCTTCTCCGTGGGGAGTATGTTCCCAGCCCTACCTGGGAAAGGCAAGGATGGGAAGGTGCAGCAATGTCATCTCCAAGCTGAGCCTTTACAACAGCTGTGGGTGTTCCTGAGCCACTCACAGCTCCAGGCATCAGAGCCCTGCTTGACCTCTGCTCTGTTTCTTTCAGGGAGCTGCACGGGCTGTGCGGCCACCTTCTCTGTGCTCAAGAAGAGGGTGAGTCTTTGGCTTCTAGCCCTACTTGCTGGGTGTACCTGGGGCAGAGGTGTTGCCCATGTCTGGCTTGCCCTGGCTTTCTCCAGCAGCTCAGGTGTCTGGCCTTGGTCTCAGCCCAGATGACCTCAGCTAAGTGCTGGGTGTTGCCATGTGCTTGATGGTGCCAGGAATCCCTTGTGCAGTGGAGCATTTGTCCCTTTACTCCTTTGGAAGCTGACTCAGACCAAACCCACGTGTGCTGTTGTAGCTCTGCATCCTGGTTTAGTCTTTGTCCTGTGACCTGAGAGATTTCTGGTGAAGCAGAGCATGGGTCTGCTTGTGGGAATGACAGGAACAAACGCAACCCTGTTGCCTTATCTAATTCTCTATATGTGATGCTTGGCACACAGTCCCTGGGCAGTTCTGGGAAGGATGTACCTCCTGTCCCCTCCAGTCTCACATTGCTGTCTTCCTACTGCCTCCCCTTCTGCAGACTCGTGGTGCCCTTCCTTTATTCCTGGGTTAGTCTGACATACACCTGGGACTCACCTCCATCTCTCTCCACAGCGGAGCTGCAGTAACTGTGGGAACAGCTTCTGCTCTAGGTGTTGTTCCTTCAAAGTCCCCAAGTCTGTGATGGGAGCCACAGGTGAGTGGAAAGGTGGAAGAGGGCAGAGCTCCTGCTTCCACCTGTGCTGTCTGCCCTGAGATTTGCCCCAGCCCTGGTGGGGAGGATAGACAGGACCAGTGCAGCCTGGCTCAGGACAGAGCAGCGATGGGTTTGCAGCTCTCAGAGCAGCTCCATGGCTGGGGTGTCTAGCCTGTGGTGGGAAAGGGGGAGAACCTCTGACACCTGCTTTCCTTTCCAGCTCCGGAGGCTCAGAGGGAGACAGTGTTTGTGTGTGCTCTGTGCAACCAGGTGCTCATCAAGTGATGAAACAGACCCAGCCAGCTCCTGTGTCCTGCACTGCCTGACACCTGGGACAGCGGGCAGGCACCCTTGCCACTGGGAACCTGGACTGTTTGGATCCCAGCATGGCATTCCCCAGACAGAGGATGCTTGCACTCTCTACTCCTCCTGCTAGCACCAGGCTAGGGCCTGACCAGCTCTCCCTGCCACACAGAAGCTGGGTCCCTGTGGTGGAATATTGCCCATGGCTGTGCCCCATCCCTGCAGCTGCTCCAAGCCCTGGGTGCTCTCTGGCACTTGCTGCACCCTGCCATGTGCTTGCCCAGGTCCTGTGGCCTGGCTCAGTGATGGAGGAGCCATCTTTCCCTTCACCTCCTGGTTGGGGTGGAACAACCTCAGGGCTCTGTCCCTACCTTTCCCAGCACTGTGCTATAAGTGACTGTATTTTTGGGATCAAGTCAGAACTCTACCTGCACCCCCAGGAGATGTGGTCTTTGGTCCTGCTCACCTGAGACCCTGCTGGTTACTCCTGTGCTTCTCAGCCTCACACCTTCAGGTTTAGTCTTTTACCCTGGATTTGGCTGTAGTGCAGAGGAGGCAACAGGGTGAGTTTGGGCTGGACTGTGTGGCCGTGTCTTCAGTGTGAGAAGAGGCAGGAGTTGGTGCTGCTCTGTGCACTTAGTGACTGCTGCTTTCTAATACAGATTAATATATAATTGCATATAGAGAATGACCAATAAATCTCTTGTCCTTAGCTGACTCTTGTCTTGTCCCAGTGAAAGCTATCCTAGTCCCAGATGACTCTGATACCTCTGGCCTTGGCCCTGCAGGTGCTCGTGGAGAAATGGTGTGTCTCTGCCACCAGCTCTCCGTGCTTTACTGGAGTTTCCATCTTCTGTCCTGCTGTAGCCTTATTTGCTCCCTGCTCAGAGCTGTGTGCAGCTGCCCTTTGGCTGTTCCAGGGCTGGATCCTGCTGGGCTGGAGCCAGGGAACACCTCAGCTCTGACAGGAGCTGCTGGGTTTCCTCTGCCTTCCGTGGCTGCTCCTTCCCCTGCCCTACCCGGGTGGTGGTCCCACCAGCTGCCTGTGTGCACAAGGGTGACCTTTCCCTGTGTGAACAGCAAAGCTCCCAGCTATTCCGGGAATGTGACCCTGGCTGCTGTGCAGCTGGGAACCGCCACGGCCTGGGTCCCTGCCAGCCAGCTGCAGCTTCCCCCCAGCCAGGGAATCTGGGGGAGCCAGTGCTCTTGGGGTGGCAGTGCCCACCAGGCTCTGACACCCACCAGGCTGAGAAGTTGCTGGAGCCCAGACCTTGCTGCTCCCACCAGTGTAGGAGCTTGTATGGGGCAGCTCCTCTTGGTTGTGGATCATAAACCTCTTCCCATGGAAATCTGGGGAAAAGCTGGACTTGGCATTGATGATGAGGGTGTCTGGGTTATGCTGTGTGTGCGGGGGGACTGGCTCAGCAGTTAGTGGGGGCAGTGGAGCAGCTGTAGCAGTGGGGAGGGCTGTGTAGCACTCCAAGAGCTGTGGGGTTGTGTTTGTGTGTGTGTCTGCAGTGGGATGAGTACTGGGCTGGGGGAGGGTGAGCTGTAGAGCTCAGACAGCCAACTGTGGGAGGCAGAGGAGTTACTTGGCTTTCTAGAGAAAACACTTGGAGCAATGAGCATGATGGCCATTTATGTCTGAACACTCCCTGGAAAGATGCTAATGACACAGAATACAGAGGACTACAGATAAACTTGTGCTGTGGGAGATGGAATTTTATTTACACGTTTTAAGTTTTGCGGTAAAATGTCATAGTTGACAATGCTTATTCCTGTGGCGGTGTGCTCAGCACTCACTCCCTGAACATACCTTCTAATATTTGAAATTTTTCCTCATTTTTTCCCCCAGTGGCCATGGGGAGGATGGAGGGCAGTAACTACCTGCCCCTGGTGTGAGGCTGGGGCTGGAGCTGGCCACCCCACGTCCCTGCCTGGCTGCAGGGCAGGGGCACTGGCACGTCTCCCTAGCAGGAGCAGGATGTGAGTGCCATTTAGGGTTCTGGAGGCTCACCAGTGGGGCTGAGGCCATGCCCAAGGAGGGCAGAGGGAGAAGGGGTCACCTCAGTGCAGTAAAGGGAAGGTGCTCAGTAGTCCTGTCAGCCTGGAAGAGGGTGGGTGGAGACATCCCACAGCCTCAATTTCTCTCTAATCCCAGGAGGCTCCCTTGTACCTGGGCCAGCTCTGATGAGATGATGCAGTGCAGGCAGCCAGGCACTGGGTAAATGTCCAGGTGGCTGCTTTCAGGCCTCCCTCACCCACTGGGATGGTGGATACAAGTGCGCACTGGGTAAACAGGACTGGGGCGGGCAGGATGCCCCCCTTGCCAGCTGGGACTTGGGGGCAGCTGGGGGAGTCGAGCCAAGCTAAGGGACAGCACCCTCCTGCCATCAGAGGGGCCAGGCTGAGAGCTGCCCTGGTCCTTGTGATGCTGGGAGGGTCCCGGCTGGTGCAAGTGGGTGGCACCAGGAATCTTTTGTGAGGAGGTGGGAGGTTGTGGTGTGGGAGGTCTGGCAGCCAGGCAGGGCTGGCAGGGAGCTGCAGGCAGGGCCTTCAAGTGCTAGGGTGTGGATTGGCCAGAGATGGCGGCTTTCTGGTCCAGGATCTTCCCCCTACTGTGCTCAGTGCCAGACTGCTTACATGGGCTGCCAGGTCCCTGCCTGTGGATTTGTCCCCTGGGATGACAAAGAGAGAAACCTCTCTGGCAAACACTGTCAGACTCAGCTGTGGGGTTCCAGCAACAGTGATGCCTCTGTCCCCTCGCCTTCCACATCATGACACCCTCACAGGGTCCTTGGAGGGGCAGGAGTGCCATGCCTGTGACCTCTGGGAATTTTATTCCTTGACTTGTCTGGACTGCCCAGACTCAGGCTCTGGGCATGGCAGCTGGAGTGGGGTAGAGCCAGAGCTTAGGGTGATCCTGCTCCCTCGGGCTGCCCCATTCAGTTGGCAGGACTGGGACCCCTCTCCCCTTCTTCTGGGGTCCCTGAGGGAGCCCCAAGGGGCGGTTGCCCATGAACCACATCGAGCTGGACACAGACTGAGATGGAATAATTTACTGTGGTGTGTATGGGCAAGGGGTGCCTGGGCTGGGTCATGCCAGGGGTGTATGTGAGCGATGCAGCAGAGCTGGTCTGGGGGGCTTGGAGGTGGAGCCCACACACACACTGATCCATGTGGAATGGGGGGTGAGGAGCCCAGGCAGGGGCTGGGCTGTTCTGGGCACTTGGTCTTGAGGGAAACAGTCTGTGGGGACAGGGAGGCAGAAGGGACCTGCCTTGGCTGGGGTGGGTCTGTGCGAAGGTGAGATCCAGGGAGGGGATGCGAGCTCAAGGTAAGGGCATGGGATGTGTTGGTGGGCTGGAGTAGGGACTGTGGGGTCTGAGGGTCTGGGGCATGTCATGAGGGAGCTGGGCAGGGGACACAGGCACAGGGTTGGGGTCCAAGGTGCAGCCAAGTGGTCCCAAGAGGGCCAAGCAGGGATCCTAAATGAAAACAGGAGTCCCTGGGCTGCTGGACAGGGAGCTTGGGAGTAGCCAAGGGTCTCTGGTGCAGACTAGGGCTCACAAGCATGCAGAGCAAGGGCTCTGGTTCAGCCTAAACTGCTGGATGTGGACAAGGGTCCTGCGAGCACAACAGGGGTCCCGGGGGTGCAGAAAAAGGCTCTCAGAAGGAGGCAGGGGTCCTGGCTGTGGATCAAGGTTCCCATAAATGCAGGTGGGAATCCTGGGGATGCAGAGCAGGGTTCAGGGACACAGCCAAGGGCCTGAGGTGAGCAGAGCTGGGATCCTGCGGTGCAGCTAGGGATGCCAGGGATGCAGTGTTGGACCAGTGCAGGAGTCCTGGGAGAATGCAGGGTGGGCAGAGTGCTAGTGCTGCCCAGCCCCATAGAGCAAGGGGTGGTAGAGGGGGCAAGGGTAGGAAAACATGAACTTGACTGCGAACTTCATCTCCTTGTTGTGCTTCTGCCAGGGGTAGATGGCCAGGAGGAGCAGGCGGCTGCCCACCTTGCGGCCCATCACCAGAAAGCTGCCACTGAGGCTGTCCAGCTGGGGGCAGGGGCAGGCACCTGCGTTCTTCATGTGCAGCACCATCTTCTTGGTGTCTTTGCGCTTGAGCGGGCCCAGCTTCAGCACCTTCTTCTTCTGGGCAGCCACGAGCCGCCGCTCCCCGTTCTCCTCCGTCATCTCCTTGATGCGCATCTTCACCACTGTGTGGGGCAGCCAAGCACGGTTGGACTTGGGGTTGGACGTGGGGGGAGGGACTACTGGGGCACTGGGGAGGGGAGGGTCTGGGCCAGGCAACTGTGCAGAACAGGGTGCAGCCCATCCCTGGGGTGGGTCTCTGGGGAAGTTATTGTGTGGGGAGGGGAAAGGGGTTATTGAGTGAACCTCCCACATGTCCCGTTCTGTCTATCCCCCCACCAATGTCTTCTCCTGTGGTGCACTCATCCCATGCATGCAAGGTCTGAAGGGAATGGCCAGGGATCTCCCATGGGGCTGTCCCCATACCCCCCCACCCTCTGGTCAACCCCTGCCTGGGCTGCCAGACCTCGGGGAGGCAGACCCCTGTTCAGGGGGGCCGGGAAGCAGACCCCAACACTCACCAAAGTCACTGGAGCACATCTGCTCCATCATGCCATCTGCCTTGTGCTCCATCTCACACTGCGTGCAGATCTTGGACACTGTGGTGAGAGACCAGTCATTGTCACAACTTCCTGCTGCTCATACTTGTCACCTGGGCCAGCTCCGCAGGGACATGCCTGGGAGAGCCTCAGCAGCTTCTCTGCTCCCTGGGCAGCTGTGCTGGGGTGATGGAGCGGGGCACAGAGCACCTCTCTGGCCAGAGTCCCAGCATCCACCCCGGCGGAGGGGATATGAGGATGCCCTCCCACCAGATGTTGTCACTTTAAAGCACAGCAACAGTGAGGCGGCACAGCAACAGTGAGGGTGGCCCCAGCCTGAAGGGTGTTGTCACAGCCCTGATCCTGACCCTGGGCTGCCTTTGGCTGATGTACCCTCCCCTGTCTGAGGGGACAGCCACCTGCAGCAGCAATGTGGGACTGAGACCCACAAGCGCAGTAAGTATACTCTGTGCTGCTGACATGGGATCCAGAGAAAGGAGAGGGATATAGATAGCACTGCGGTGGATCTGCCAGTGGCTCCCACCTCATCTCATGTTCTCCTCTGTCCTGCGGCAGCTCTGTGCAGGCAACTGGGTGCCCAGCTCTCTCGAGCAATGAGTGGTGTCCAGACAAAGCAGCTGATGCTGCTGGTGCTGCACCCACTTGTGCCCTGCTGCAGACAGAGGGTCCTTGGCCAGTACCAGTGTCCCGAGCTCTGCTTTGAGGGGCAAAGGGACGGGGGTGCAGGGGCTCCACATGCATCCCCATCCCATCACAGTACCCTTTCCACTTACCTGGTGGCGGAGTGGCTTTGCTGTTCCCAAACTGGACGGCAATGCAGAGCTCGTGGTCAGAGGGGAACTTGCCACAGTGCAGCATCTCAGGCCAGGGGAAGCCGTAGGACTCCATGACGGGGGCACAGGAGTCACGTACCACCTCACAGAGGGAGCGGCAGGGGTAGACGGGCCGGTCGAGGCAGACGGGGGCGAAGAGGGAGCAGAGGAAGAGCTGGGTGTCAGTGTGGCACTGCTTGGCGAGCAGGGGCACCCAGCTGCCAGCCTGCTGCTTGGCCTCGGCCATGGTCTCGTGCTCCAGCAGGTTGGGCAGCCGCATGCGCTTGTATCCCACGTCGCGGCAGAGCTGCATGTCGGGCGGGATGTCGAGGCACTGCGGCTCCCGCCCGTAGAAGCGCCCGTGGGGCAGGTTCTCGGGCTGCCACCCATAGTAATCGTAGTGCTGCCCGCCGCCCAGGGACCCTGCCAGGGCCAGCGACAGGGCCAGCAGCGCCGTGCTCCCGGAGCCAGGGGGGCTGCCCGCCTGCGGCATCACCGCTGCCCGCCTGCCGCTGCCGGCCGTGGTTGCCGAGCGGGACGGGAGCGTGTCTCGGCACCTCGCCTGCTCCCTTAGCGCCTCCCACGCTCGCTGCCCTTTCTAAAAAGGCTGGAGGCTTCTCCGGCAGCCAATCTGCTCTGACTGTCGGGCCCCTCGGGGCTGGCCCCGGCCCCCCGCCAGCCTGCCCACCCCGCTGCCCCAGCCCTCCCTTCCTCCTTGCTGCATGGTGCTCCATGCTCCCAACTCAGACTCCCAGGGAGCCTCTCTGCGTGCACCCCTTCAGTCCACCCTGGCTCTGTGTGTCCCTGGGGTGATACTGTCTGGAAGGGTTGGCTTGTCTGTCCCATGAGGATGTGTTGTTGGTGCAAGGTGCCCCCATTATACACCAATCCCCCTGCCCATGTTGACTGGCACCTCACAGGCATTCCCTGTCATGGGGCAAGGGCCTGCAGTTCCTACCCTGTGCCCCTGCCCCCTTCTCTGTCCAGTGCCCCATGGGGTCTGGGTTTGGGTATGTTTGGGGTGCAGGGGATGGAGGAACAGGGCATCCAAGAGGCTTCATACTGCAGCACTAGGGGGGAGCTAAGGTACCCAGGTGCCATGTGTGCCATCAGTGCCAAGGTGGTGCCAATGGGCATGGGGTTCTTGTTCTTCATGGGTGGCCCTGCCAGGATGTACCTTGGGCAGCCCATGGTCTGCTGGGCACAGGTCTGCTGAGGTTACACCTCCCAGCAAAGGGCTTTCACACAGGCTCTGCCAGTGCCCAGAGTGTGGGAAAAGCTGGAGCACAAGTGGGATGAGGGTCCTACCAGGGCCACATTCCCCCATTCCCTAGGAGATGGGCTGGGCCAGGGGGTGCAAGACTTAAGACCCCATTAGAAGCCCATTTGTCTGCAGGGGTTATCTGGGGCACCCCCTACCTTTCCCGTGATCGATGCTGCTGCCTGGCCAACAGGCTTTGGGTTGTCGCTGGCCCCTGCCTGCTGGATAAGGCAGCTCTGTTAATGGTGATAGAGCAAACAGTCCAGTGCATGCAGTGATAGCAGCTGCTCTTTGCCCTGAGCTGGGGGCAGGGACTGCTCCCCTAATCCTGGTGGGGTTCATCTGCTTTGAGGCCATGCTGGGAACCTCAGCCACACAACCTGCCCTTGCCTGCAGCCTGCCTGCCCTGCCCATGCCCTCTGTGCAGGCCACAGCGACCATCACTGCATCACTGATGCTCACTGGCAGCCCGAGGGTGGGCTGGGTTCATCTCGCCCCAGCCAAGCCCCAGAGATGGCACCATTAATGTGTAACTGCCAGGGAGCCCGATAAGATAGAGCAGCCCTTTATCAGGACTGCCTGGTAGCAGGAGGGAGGGTGCTGGAGGCATCAGGCTGTCATGGCAGGAGTGAGATTGTCTGGAGATAAATGCTGATAGAAAATAGCTAATCCGTGATGGATGGGCTTGGGCAGGGTGTAATTGCCATGGGAACTAGTCTGGGAAGGGTCTGGCAAGGCCTGGGAGCAGGAGCTGGGAGGTGGAGGCAGAGCAAGGCTGTGTGTGCAGGGTGAAACTGCCAGTGTGTGGGATGCTAAGCACAGCCATAGGTGTACCATGATGGAGGTGAGGGGGCTGGTGAGGCTGGGGTTGAGTGAGAGGCTCCCTGCCAGCTGGCCCACTCCCTCTGTCTGTCACAATGCCTTCCTTAGAGCCACTGAATCACCTCCTGTCAACATGGCCATGCTGGGGGGGAGCAGAGATGGCTCCAGGATAGGGGTGTCCATTCCCTGTTCCCACCCTTCTTGGTGTCCTGGCAGCCTTGTCTCTGAGCTGAGACTTTACCTTTACTCTAGGGGTTCCCTGCTGCACTCACATTACTTCCTTAACCCTTTTCCACCCAGGATGCCCCAGGGGAGGTAGATCTGGGGTGTACCCCAGAGAAGGGTATGGACCCAAAGCAGGTGGATCTGGCACCCTTCCCTGCATCCTGTCTGCATAGGCTGCTCTAGTGCTCACATTCCCGTCCTGCTGCCATGCAGCTGTCTGGGAGACTGACACTTGTGCCTGTCACTCCAGGGAGCTGGCTGTGCCAGCACTTGTGTCACTGCCTGTGTTGCCTGTCACAGCAGCAAGGGTGGAAGCGGGGCCATGGGGGCTGCCCCCTCTGCGGTGGGGACCTCAGGGACGTTGAGCCAGAGCGGTAGGGTAAGACATCCCCCTGGGGGTACCCCATCGACACTCCAGGCCCTCCCTGTGGAGAACCTGTGCCTGGTTGTAGCACAGAGGAGATTTGAGCAGGGGGAGCAGGAGGCTCCTGGGAAATGAGATGCTGAGAAGGATCCTGGCCACCTCTTTCCATCCTTGTGTCCCACTCTCCTGTCTCAGCTTTAGATGCTACTGACCTTGCTTCTGTGAGCAAAGATGCATCCCCTGGGCCTGGGTGGGCTGACTGGGCTGGGTGAGCTCTCTCCCATCCTGCTTCTCAGGCTGTGTCAGTGCCAGACATGGGCTGCACTCACTGTGGAGCAGGGACGTTTAGGAGAGAACAGCACGCTGGAGCTGACCATTCAAGGGCCCTCAGGAAGGGACAGCAGGCTGAGGCTGTCTGTGCTGGGACACGTGTCCCAGGGTGTCCAGCAGCTCAAAAGAGAGAGCACCCTGGCTGGGGGGCAATGCTGGGCTGGCAGCACAGCTCCATGGGGGGGTGGCCCCGTCTGTGAGTGCCTGTGGGAGTTTGGGGCATGACTGGGGGCGTTGTGGGGTCAAGGTGGCCCCGGGGGCAATGTGGAACCCTCAGGGCGGGCAGCGCACAGGGTCAGTGGTGGCTGTGCACTTGCCCTGCGCCCACACACACTCACTTGCCCGGCAGACCCAGGAATCTGCTGGCAGGGTTCCCAGCCCAGCTGCGGAGCTGACGCACTCTCCCAGCCCCGACCCAGCACCTCCTGGCCCTGCCCAGTTCCTGCCAGCTTGCAAACAGACCCTCCCTGTTCGCTGCTGGACACCCCGGTCCTGGCCCCCAGCACCTGGTCCTGCTCAGCAGGGCAGGGAGGGGACGTGTCCTCTGTGGGGAACCTCTGCGGAAGAGTCCCTTTGCTTCACGGCGTGGCACCACACATGGAGACCCCTCTGCAGTGCTGTTTGCCCTTCCCCGCCCCACTGGGGAGGTGGGAAAAGCCACCCACGTCTACTCCCAGCACAGCCCCGTCCCTGTGTGGTAGCAATCCTTGCACAACCTCGGCTTCCAGCTGGCACCTTTGCTAAAGCCAGACCTTGGCACCTGGCTCCGAAACCACATTCTCCTCTGCTTGCCTGTTTGCAGGAAGGATGCTGAGTCCCCCAGCACCTGTGGACTTCCTCGGGATGTGCTGGGGGGCTGTCCCTGCCCTCTGCAGGGGCTCCCAGTGCAGTAGGGTGCACTAGAACCACCCCTTGGTATGGACAGAGCTGAACATGGCAGTGCTTGCAGATGCCACAGAGGCGGGCCCACTCTCAGAGTGCCCAGTCTGTGGGGTCAGTGGCCCCAGTTTGGGGCGGTCTCCATGTCCTGCGTGAAGGGGCAGGCTGAGGCACTTGGAGCTGTTTTCCAGAGGCTCAGAGTGTGGGGGATGTGTCCCCCTCCCCCTGCCACAGGTGCACACACCTGGCATCTCTCAGGAAAGGTTATCAGCTAATCACACTGCCTCGCTGTCTTTGCGCCTCCCAAATGTCACTGTTGTCCTCACTGCATGGTGATCTCATGCTCCCTCACCAATAATGAAAGCCCTCCCAGTGCCGTGGGAAGCAGCTGCCAGGACCTGGCCCTGCTGTGGCCTCTTTGAAGCAGAGCTGGAGCCGCTGACAGCCCTGACAGGCTGGAGAGGGGGCTCAGCAGGCAGTGGGTTCAGGATGGGGTCCCAGGGGTTGGTCCTGGACCGGTTGCAGGACTCCAGTTGCCCTCCATGGCCTCCAGCCACCCTGCTGGGGCTGCAGGGAGAGTTGAGATGCTGGGATGGGGTGCAGCAGTGTGCACCGAGACACACTAGGGACAATCCCTGGTCTTGGTCTGGGAGCCAAGTGCAGGGGCTGAAGCAGGGGCACTGCTGGGGCATGGCTGCTGTGACGTGATGGGCACAGGCATGCTGTCTGTGCAGGTTAGCCATAGGGGTCCCAAGTATGCCCAGTGTCTATCCCATGGGACCAGGGGCAGGGTTTGTGAGCAGTTAGCCAGAGACAGAGGCAAAGGAAGATCTGATCCATGGGGTCTGTGCAAGACAGATCAGAGCTGCTTCACTCCGGGCACAGAGGAAAAGTCAAGCAGGGAAGTAAAGGCAGCTCTGGCAGCAGCCATGCCTATCCCTGCTGCAGGGCAGCCTAAAAATAGTCCCTCAGGGCTGAGCAGATGGAGCAAAAGGGACAGAGCCCTGTTACTGCAGGCACCTTGCCAGCCCCCCTCACAGTGCTGGGGCTGAGGGAGCAACAGGGCCATGCAGCACTTTAGGACTGCCCTGAGCTCTTACTGTCTCTGATCCTACTGCCTGGGATCCCTTTGGCTATGCCAGCCTCCTCCACCTCTGACCTGCCCTGCTGGAAACCACAGCACAACATGGCAGGACCTGGCATGGCATGGCATGGCATGGCACGGCACGGCAGTAGCCTGTTTCCTCTTCATGGGAACCAGCAGGGTCTATCCCCTCTCTGGTTAAAACTGGAAAGCCCATGATGGTGCACCCTGCATGGGGGAGCTGGTAGACCCTGGTGAGCTCTGGAGATGCTGAGGACAACAGATACCACAGGTAGGGCCAGGGGCTGTGTGGTGATGGGGAACATTTTGGGTGAAGTCAGGGCTGTCCATGTCCTGCCTGTCACTGGGCAGTATGGCTGCAAGAGAGTAGCTCCTTGACACATGCCCTGGTCCTGTAGACAGCAGGTTATGGCTTGTGAGACAGATGGAGCCCAGAACCTGGGTTGGTGCAGCCAGAGAAGAGACATCCCTGGGACAACACTACAGGGTGCAGGATGATGGGCAGAGCCTGGGGTGGCAGACAGAGCTGAACCCCCATGACTGCTCTTGGTCCCTCACTGCAGCACGGGAGAGTAAACTTCGTCTCTTGGCAGGCACAGCATTGCCATGGCAACTGGCAGGACCTGCCAGGCGGGCAGGCGAGCACTGACGTGGCAGTGACATGCAGCACGGGAGGGAGGTGGGATGCAGGGTCTTGGTTTGGGGACATCTGGGGACATGCTTGGGGGTGTGAGCACAATGCATATGCACCGGGCTGCACGCCTGGGGTGCATGGGTTGTGTGGGCAAATGTGGGCATCTGAGTGCATGCATGAGTGCCTGTGCCAGTGTATGTGCATGCGTTTGGGTGCATGGGAGACTTCACACACCACCTGAGGGGGGACCTTTGGTTTTGTGGCACTGTCAAGGCAGGGTGTACCTCACTACTCCAAGCTGTGGGCTAGCAGGGCTGCTCTGAAACATGGCAGCAAGAGGTTTCCCCAAAAACTGTGGGATCCATAGCTTTCTGTCTGTGGGGGAGATGAGCCCTCCAGTTGGGGTCCCTGACTGCATGTGTCCTTTGGTCACTTGGTCACAAACCCTGCCATGCTCCAGAGAATGGGTGCTGCCCACCAACCACCCCCAGGGCTCTGCCTCTATCTGGCATGCCCAAGGCCTGCACAGGTGCTCAGGGCGGGGATCAGAAGTCAGACAGAGCTGCCCCTGCACTGTAGGCAGCTGGCCATGCTGTGTTTGCTGTGTTCTCTATATTAGTTGTGTGTGTTAGCTGTGTTAGCTGTATTAGCTGTGCTAGCTGTATTAGCTGTGTTCCCTGACAAGACATACACACTGGCAGGGCCCTGCGCTGCCTCCAGCATTGTCCAGGTGTTGAGAGAAGGGTTGGCTGCTCTCCTGCCTGCCGAGGGCCCTGTGCCCAGCTACCGCATCCCTCTTGCCCCACCACGGTCCCAGCTGGGAGCCGCCCCCTCCTTCACCTCTCGGGCGAGCGTCTGTTCTCCCCACTTGGCATTTCTCCGGCTCTAATTGAGCTGTCAGTGGGCAGAGATAATAGGGAATTCGTTAGCTCTGCTCTTTGATGTGTGCCTGCTCTGCGACCGCAGCGCCAGCTGCAACTCCTTCGCAAACAAACAGCTTCAGACGAGGGCCCTTGGCACGGCGAACTGCCAGCCCCATGGTCGACTCCCCAAATCGCTGTCGTTCCAGCCTCACGACCGCCCAGACCCCCTGTTACTTCCAGCAGCACCCCCTCGGCAGCCAGGTTCCCCCAGGGGGACCTACAGCTGCGCCCCAGAAGCACCCGGGCTCCGGTGGCCGCCGTGCCAGACCCCCGGGGACACCCAGCAGAAGCCCTCCTCCCCAGCCCCTCCCCGGGGCCGGCCTGGGTGCAGCTGGTACCGCCGTCCGCAGCAACGGGGCCGCGTCCTACAGGGGCCCCGTGCCGGTATCAGCGGGCGCCCATCTCCGGTGCCTCGGGGCGGGCCGCGGCGGACCGGGCGGCTGCGCACACGGGCGGCCGGGCCCGCCTCCGCCGCTCGGCTCGGCAGCACCGCGGACAGCGCCCGGCCCCGAGCGGCTCCGCACGGCCCCGGTGGCGGCGCCGGTGCGGTCCGGTCCGGCCCCCCCGGCACGGCACAGCCCGGCCCGGCGCCCGCCGCGCCATGGCCACGGAGGTGGGTGAGCGGCGGCACGGCGAGGACATCTCGGCGGCGGCACCGCCCGGGGCCGGGCTGCGGCGGAGCCCCCCCGCTCCGCCCTGCCCTGCCCTGCCCTGCCCTGCCCTGCCCTGCCCTGCCCTGCCCGCCGCCACCGGCTGCCTGGGCGCGGCGGGGCGAGGGCTCCGCGGGGGGTGCGCTGCTGCGGGAGGACGGCGGGGTTGGGGTCCGTGCGGGGGGAGTGTGAGGCTGGGGGCTGCGAGGGGTTTGCGTGCACGGAAAAGACGATGGGTATATGGGGTGCTTGAAGGAGTGTGGGGGTGCAGGGTGGGTGCAGAGCCCCCCTGGTGGAAGGAGCAACGCGGGTTTGGGTTGGGGTGCCCCGGGGAGAGGGATGGCTGTGGGACTGGGGGTCCCTGTCTCAGATGTCGTGGGTGGGACGTGGGCCGGGGACAGACGGTCTGTGGGGCAGAGAGCAGGTGGTGGCCCCATGTCACCCAGGGGAAGTGCAGGGAGGGGCCTTATACCCGCCCCTGGCACAACCAGGTCCCTCCATCCACCTCTCCAGCCACCAAAGCTGCCCCACAACCCAGAGTTTGGGTGGCTGGCATGGGCCCTTACACCCCATGGGGAATCAGGGCTTAGCATACACCACCGAATCTGCTGATCCTTTTCCTGCAGTCTTCCCACTGCAGCCTGCTCACCCACTGTGCCACTGCTGCAGCCTCGCTGCCCGACCACTGCTCCTGCTCAGCTCACTCCTGTTCTGCCTGGGAGCTGCTGGGTTGGCTGTGTGCTGGGGTGCTGCTTATGACAGGGGGCTGTCCCCTCCCTGGGCCATGGCCTGCTGTGAACACACACTCATTCATGCAGGAGCCAGTGTGGGTGAGACCTGACAGCAGCCTGGGGCAGGGAGCACACACACTCGCCCACAGTTTGAGCAGGGGGCTGCCACAGCACCCTCCCCTTGCCGCCATCCTTCCCTCACCACTGACCTTACATCTCCAGAAGCGAGCTGTGCTCATGGCATGACACAGCTCATGCTAGGGGCTCCCTGTCCTGGGGGGGGTGTGAGACTGCAGACCCCGACACTGGGGAAATGGCGCTGCTCCACAGGCCCCCAGCTCTCCAGCAGGGGTGCCTGGCACCCCTTGGCTGCAGCCCCCCTGTATCACCCACTGCCCCCAGGTGCACAGCCTGCAGGAACTGCGGCGCAGCGCATCCCTGGCCACCAAGGTCTTCGTGCAGCGGGATTACAGTGACGGGACCACATGCCAGTTCCAGACAAAGTTTCCCCCTGAGCTGGAGAGCCGGGTAGGAAGCTTGACAGATTGACAGGGTGGTGCCCTATAGCAGTGCCCTATGGGGGCTAAGGGGGTAGAGGGGTCTGAAGGCGTGGAGCCCCCATGGGATGTAGTGTGGCCCTGGGCCAGCCAGTGCTGCTGGGTGCATGCAGTCACAGCCACTGTCTGCTGTGCAAAGACTTGGGTTCTACCGGGGACTGGGAGGCTCTGGTGGAGGCTGCAGGCTCAGCAGATCTTGACATGGATGGGAGGTGGGCAAGTGCCAGCAAGCTGAGGCATGAGCTGGGCAGGGAGGAGAGAGTTAAGTGCTCCCCAGATACCCCCAAGAATGGGGACAGGGCGGTGCAGGGAGTCAGCCTCTGGCCAGACTCCTCTTCACTCTGGTTTCTGTCCTAGATTGAGCGGCAACTCTTTGAGGAAACTGTGAAAACTCTAAACGGCTTCTACGCTGAGGCAGAGAAGATTGGGGGCAGCTCATACCTGGAGGGGTGCCTGGCCTGTGCCACTGCCTATTTCATCTTCCTTTGCATGGAGACACATTATGAGAAGGTGCTGAGGTGCAGGGGAGGGCTCGGGGATGGGCATGTCGGCACAGGGACGGCTCAGGGATGGGACAGGGAGCAGGGAGCTGGAGGCCAGAGCAGGCAGTGCTGGCAGGCCCTGAGTGTCCCTCCGTGTGCTGGCAGGTACTGAAGAAGATCTCCAAGTATATCCAGGACCAGAACGAGAAGATCTATGCACCACGGGGGCTGCTGCTCACTGATCCCCTGGAGCGTGGCATGAGGGTTGTATCCTGCAGGCAGCAGGGTGCTGGGGGGATGGCAAGGGGTGGGGGGACACTGGGAGTGGGTGCCAGGCAATTGGGCTAGCACATTTCACCGATGATCCTTAGCAGGGCCCAGATTGAGATCTCCATCTACGAGGACCGGTGCAGCAGCGGCAGCTCCAGCAGCGGTAGCTCCACCAGCAGCAGCGGTGGTGGGGGTGGTGGGGCGGGGGGCCGGTGACTGGCAGGGAGTCCCTGCAGGGACTCGTACTGCCGGGACAGTGGCCTCTCCGAGCTCCGCAGGCTGCACTACCAGAGCACTCGCTTCTGAGCCCAGGGAAAGTGGGAGGGGGAGGCTGTGGCTACCCAGTGGGGCTGCCCACCGCCATCTGCTCTACACCCCCCACAGTGGGTCTGCCCCTGCTTGGACCCACTGTGGGCAGGGGCTGGTGCTGGGGTATCCCAGCTGCTTCCCACTGAGCCAAACTGTTGCCAAGGGGCTCCCGCGGCCCTACGTGTTCTTGGTGCTGCTGTACCTACCCCAAGCGAAGGGGGCTTGCCCTGCTATGGGCAGTCCCAGGCAGCAGTGCCCTGTTGCCGTGCATCAGGGAGCGATGGGACTGGAAAAGCCCCCAGCAGCGCTAAGGGGGGGATGCACACTTAGCCCCATGCCCACAGGCACTGAGCTCTTGCTTCATCCCCTCCTTAGGGCACCCTGCTCTTGGTGCTGCAGCGTGGGCTCAGTTGCTGCATGTCCACCGCCCAGGGTGCCTGCAGAGCCCTGGTGCCACTCCTTTTGCATGATGGTGCCATACATTCTCCCCAGCCCTGCCCCACATGCTGCCCGTTGCTGCTCCCCAGCCTTGGCCACATGCCCTCACCCATCTGGCAGTGCATCCTTGCCAGCAGCATCCTTCAGCACTGCCATGACACTGGACACTTGCTTCTGCTCCCTTCCTGACCTGGTGCCATCCCCAGCTGGACCCAGAAAGCTCCCCAGCCCAGCGTCCAAGGCAGGGAGGTGCAGTGCTGGGCAGGCTCCTGCCTCTATGCCTTGTGCCCTGGGCTCACTCATGGCCCAGCATAGCTGAGGCTGAGCTGTGCCATGGCTGAGGCAGGCTCCTTGCCCAGTCTTGGCTGAGGCAGGCTCCTTGCCCAGTCTTGGCCGAGCCTGCCCATACCTGGCTGCAGCTCCCTGCCTGCACTGCCCCATGACCTGCTCCAATGCAGGGACAGTGCCTGGTGGAGCAGCTCCACCAGGACTCTTCCTCTCACACTGCTGAGCCCTCCCCTGCCCACATGTCCTGCATGCATATGCCACCACCACCCCAATTCTCAGCCTGGCCTGTGGTGGGGACCCCAAGGGGCACCTGGGCTTGGCTGCAAGGTGTGGAGGTTCATGGTCCAGGGTCAGATAGGGGGAAATAGGAGGGTCCCTGTGACATCCAGCACCTTAAGGAGAACTCCTGTCCAGGTGCAGGGCTGAACCGAGCCGGCATTTCTCTCCTGGGGTCCTGGAGGGAGGACTCTGCCCTGTGGGACTCCCTTTGGCTCGGTCATGACGTGTGTGAGGGGTGGCCCTGGCCTCAACATTTCTGCTGGAGCCCCCCTGCATGGAGACCTTCCTCAATAAACCCCACGCTTCTTCCCCCACTGCCTACCCTGCATCTTCTTGTGCTGGGGGGGAAGCAGGACAAAACTTTGGGGGCACAGAGTCAAGCTGGGTATCCCTTATCACACTGGTGTGTATGGACTCCCACGAGGACGGTGAGCATGGGGGAAATGAGGGAGAGGAATGGGGCAGATGGGGCAGGCTATGGGGGGACAGGGACAGACCTGTGTAGCAGTCATGTGGCCCCAGTGACAGGGACACACAAGGAAGCCAGTGCAAGGAAAGGGTTTATTCAGTTGGCACTGAGTGCAACTGGAACAGGGCTGAGGGTGAGCAGGGGACACCTGGCCGTGCCAGGACAGGCTAGTTGCGCTGGCAGCGCCCACTAGCGCCCAGGGAGAAGCCGCGGTGACAGTGGCAGTGGAAGGAGCCGTGGGTGTTGTGGCAGATATGGTCACAGGGGCCAGGCTGTGTCTGGCACTCATCTATGTCTGGTAAAGAAGTAGAGAGGGTCAGAGCAGTGCCAAGGGTACAGGGATTGTCTGGCACGGGCAGGGAGGGAGGGTGCATGAGGGGGGCAGGCTGAGTGAACCTGCGACATGAAGGCAGGTGGTCCTGCCACTGCTTGTCCCCAAGGCTGCTGGGTGGCAGATGCCTTCTTACTTCACAAAGTCCTGCACAGCCACAGTCTGTCCTTCCCACCCCCCAGGTCTAGGGCTGTGAGCACAACTGGGCACCCTAGGAAACAGTATTTCTGCCCCCAGGGCAGCAGCAGGTGGCTGGGCACCACGGGGGGGGCAGCCAGCTGCTGCCTGCAGGTACTCACCCAGGCACTGGCTGGCAGCAGGATCAAGGGGGCGGAAGCCTGGGTGGCAGCTGCAGGTGTGTGCCCCAGGGGTGTTGGTGCAGAGCTGGCTGCAGTTGTGCAAGCCCTGAGCACACTCGTCAGTGTCTGGTAGTGGGGAAGAGAGCAGCATGGGGTTACAGCATACCAGCAGAAGGCAGCACAGCCCTTTTGCTGGGGTGCAGGCAGGGCTACTTGCTGCACCCCAGCCCCTCCAGTGCTGCACATTTGGCTGTGTCCCCATTGCAGAGCTGCCCAGGGTCACTGTCACCCTCTAGCCAGCTTGCAGCCCCGGGGCAGGGAGAGCTGGGGCACAGCGGGGATGCTTCCCACCTTGAGGTCCTTCCCCATGCAGCCCCAGGGCAGGGTGGGCAGAAGCATGGGCACAGCCCTGCCCTGCAGAGCTCAGCAGGCCAGGTTAATAGATCGGATATCTTTTATTGGGAGGTTCTCTGGGAGAAGGGCTGGAAGACTAAGCAGGGTCTGACTCCAAACAGTAGGGCCAATACTTAAAAAACAGACCAGGAGGGTCCTGCCCCTGCAGGACTGGGGAGACCCTCCTCTGCCAGGGCTGGGGAGGTGGTCCCCACCACTGAGGAGGGGGCAGGCAAAGCACACACGTCGCAGGCCAAACCAGCAGGCACATGGTACAGTATTGAGGCGACGGAGCAAGCGACCACCTGGGAGGTGCCAGCATGGCAGGAGCAGCACTGGGGCACTAGGGTGCTGGGGAAGGGGCTCTGCTGCACTGCCCCGGGGCTGCTTTCCCAGAGACGGTACATGGGACAGCCAGGTCCGTGCCCATCCCACTGCAGGTCACCCTGATAGGTCACAGCCAGCACTTCCAGGGCAGTTTGACATGGAGAAAAAGAGAGAAAGAGAGACAGGCAGAAGCCAGCTGGTCCTTCCACCAAGGCTGCTCTGGCATGTTACGGGTAGGGGTTAAAGTGCATAGAGGCAAAGGCAGAGTCCGAGGACTAGAGGGAGGAGGGCACTGTGGGGGAGCCCAGGCCAGCTCCCGGCAGAGGGGTATCCCCCAAAAAAGGCCACTTGAGCTGCACAGAGAAGGAGAGAAGGAGCAAGAGAGAAAAACAAAGAGAAAGAGAAGGGGAGTCAGTGGTGGCCAGGCCTTTATCAGGGGTGCAGCACCATCCCAAGGTGGTGCTTTGGAGATGCTGCCAGTTGGCATGGGGTCAGGGTGTCCCAGCCAACACTCACCCACACAAGCTGTGCCATCCTCATTAGGCTCAAAGCCCCGGCTGCAGCGCTTGTTGCTGCGACAGCGATACCCGCCATAGGTGTTGATGCAGACGGGCTTGTCCCGGGGACAGACAAAGGGGAACTCAGTGCACTCATTTGTGTCTGCAAGAGAGTCCTCAGCATTAGACAGCTGAGCAGAGAGTTTGGGACTGCCAGCCATGGCCCCTCCACTTCCTCCTGTACATCCTGGATGACCACCCCAGTGGTAGCCATGCATATGCCATGCCTACTGCCCGGGGGGTTCACAGCACGGCCACAGCCACCCCGCTGCATCCCTGCCACCCTTCACTGCTCATGGCTCCAGCACAATGCCTGCCACATGCCAGCCATGCCTCCCACCGCAGCACAGCGCTCTCGCTGCTCCCTGTGACACCATGGTCCCTCTCTGGAGCTGCGCTGCTGCGCTGATCCCAGGCCATGTGCCAGGCAGGCAGCTGTACCTGGCACTAAGCCATGTGGCAGGCAGCCACCTCTCGTCACAGAGTGCTGTCCCTGTGTCCCCCCCGGGGCCATGCTGCAGCATCCCGGGTGCAGGCACACCTGTGCCCCCAGCAGCCACTCACCTACACAGCGTCCATTCTCGTGCTGGGAGAATCCCTGCCCGCACTGCATTTGGGGAGAAGCAGAGACCGCCAGGATAGGGAGGAATCAGCCCTGGGCAGCCACAGAGCCAGCAGAGCCCAACCCAAATTCCTGCCCCCAAAGTCTCCCGCCCTGCACCCGCACCCGGCCCTCACCTCCAGCGGGGCAGGCATGAGTGGCTCCTCTACATCCAGGGGGTAGGGGACCTCCAGGACAGAGTTGGTCTCACTGCTGGCCACAGCTCGTGACACCACACGGCCATCTGGCCAGGTCACCTCCAGGCTGCTGGCTTCGTCATGCCCTGCAGGCGGGCAGCCCATCAAAGGGGGGGTCTCCAGGGTGGGCAGGGGCTGAAAGGAGGCCAGTGGGGTGGTAGGGATGGGAGGGGCAAAGGCTCCCCTTGCTCCCTGAGCCTGGCCCCAGGTGCTCATGCTGACAGCCCATGTACATGGATGTAGTCCAAGGGGTGTAGGTGAGGACAGTGGGATGATCTGCCAGGGGCCAGGAACACCCTGTGGGCTTGGCTACTGGCAGTGTTGAGCCAGGGGTAGACTAAAACACAGGAAAAGTCCTAGTGTCTGAGCAAAGCAGTAGGCAAAGGGTGGGGAAGGGGGCAGCTGCCCCTTGTAGCAGAGCTGCAGTAGCTGGACACCCTGCTCAGTCTCCCACAGAGCCCACCATACCCAGGGTGACAGACATGGATGACTACTGTGCTGCAGGACACCAGAGCAGCAGACATGGCCCCTGCCCAGGGGAGTGCCAGGGAAGGCTGGGGGTGAAGGCAGCCCCTTGACCCTCTGTCTCACCCAGTCCAAAGTGTGCCACAGGCTCCATCTCGCAGAGATACCCCGAACCGCCATCGATGATGCGCAGGTGGGCCCCACTGCGTCGTGTGAACAGAACCACTTTGGCCCCCCGTGCAAAGGCCCCAAAGCGGGTGCGGGGAATGACTCGCAACCAGTTGTTGCTTCTGCCCTGCAAGGGAAGAGGGAACAAGGAGACTGAGCTGGGAGAGACAGAGGGGATAGGGACAACACAAGGACCCCTCCCTTGACTCACCTGAGTGCCCTTGAAGATGGAGATCGGCTGTGCCATGGACTCACCATGGGATAGGATGAGGTCCAGCATCCCATCACCATCAAAATCTGTCACTGCACCTCCTGCAAGGACAGGATCATGTCATGCCTGAGGTCTGGCCGCACATCTCCCATCACCACAACCTGCTGCTGGTGCAGCCTTCCACAGGCAATAACAGCATTCCTGGCCATGCAGGAGCAATAGGGAAGATGGGGTAACTCCAGTGCAGGAGTAAGGGTCTCTGTGTGGGTGACATCCTGCAATCAGGTGTGTCAGCATCCTGGGCAGTGGAGGGGACAGGTAGTGGCTGGAGGGCGGTAGGACACAGGAAGCTGCCTCACCCTCTCTCAAATGCAGAGGGTGACTTTGAACAGTGGGCACCCAGGCAGGAGCCCCCCAAGAGCAAATCCCTGGGGAACTGGAGATGGCACTGTTAGCAGGGTATGGGCGGAGGGAGAAAGCATGGGGCCATTCCTGGGTGATGGGAGCTCCAGCATGGTGGTGGGGAGCAGGCAGGGGACTCAGCCAGGCATGCAGCATCCCCAGTCACAGAAGGTGCCAGGCGGAGCTGTGGCACATGGACCTCCACCAGCAGAGCCAGGGGGACCCACCCGTGCCCCGTCCCTCAGGCTCCAGTGCATCCCCTGGATTCAGCTCTTCCACGATGGGGTCTGAGTGTTCCCTGCGAATGAGCCTGCCAAGCACACACAGGGTATTAATGCCAGTC